ATGGATGTCATTGACATCCCGTGAAGATTAACACAATTTTTAACATATCGGGAAAGACAGAAAACATTTTAGCTGAGTAGTGACAAGCAAAAACAACATATCGATCGGCACGTAAAATTACCTAACTGAGATAACATTACTTTATTTCTTCTAAAATCGACCTTAATTATATATGTAGAATTCTCTGGAACTTATAGTCGGAGCCTACAAACCCGAGAAATTTAGACCATTCAAGAGAAAAAGAGAGATCAAATCTTTGAATTGTGTGAAATGAGCAGTGAGATGAACTGTTGAAGATCGTAAGATTTAAAATGAGTGATTCAAATTTCTTTGTCTATCAACTCCGTACTACGTCCGAGATCCGGAGAGGATCTCAACTCATATATGTATATATATATTTTGGACGTTCTTGTAAATTGCAATGCGGCCACATTATATATATATATATATATATATATATATATAGTAGATTAATTGTGAAGTTGATCTATTTTCAATGCTTGGCCTCAAACATTTAGCATATCCGCTTGTCCATTTCATTAAAGTAATGCGGATATCATGTTACATTACATCGTCTTCCTTCCTCCTCCATATAAAAAATTGAAAAATGTTAGGATTATGTTTTTAGACTCTAGTATTATATATAGACCGCATGATGTGGTGGTTGATTGTTAGATTTTTATAGAGACATAATGTAGCGGTTGATTGCTGGATTCTTCAACCACCACATTATGTAGTCTATATAATTTGGTCTTAAAATATGGTTTCTCATCTAGTACTTTCCAAGTTTTTATATGAAAGAGGGAAGAAGACGATGTAATGGAACATGGTACCAAATTACTTATATGAAATGGATAAGGGGATATGCTAAATGTTTGGCCTAAGAAGGAAGATAATAAGTATTTTTGAGTTGGAGGAAAATAATATTAATACTTCATGATATGTGCAGAATATATTTGCAGATCCAAACTTGCCAGAATCATATCCAAACGGCCTTTGATTTGAACTGATCTGAACCGTGCTGTCTTTGTTGAAACAGTGACCTTCAGTCACAGTAACGGGACAGCTAGGGTTACTTGCTTATCATGACTAGTTATGGGAGGCCACAAGTTGAAAATTACATTAAAAAACTTTAGAAGAAGGGAAACCCCGTGTTGTTTCTGCTAATTAACCTACTTGCATTGCATGTCTCTTTCATTTTTGCATCTTTGCATGTTAAGGATAATAAACAAGTTAATAAAAAAACACGAGCTACATAATGTAAATATATAACTAGCCAATAGCCATATATACGAGGCAATATATATAATCGGGCGGAGATTATTATACACTTGTTAATGAAAAGGAGCTTTATGGAGACAGGAGACACATGCAATGTTTTTTCACCGTGCATTTGTTTAAACCTAATTTGTATGTTTTGTTTATTTAACATCGTCTAACTCTTAGACTTGAATTTCGAGAATTTAGAGTTCACAGTCAATTATTTCCTCACTTTCTCATTATAAATTTATCGTTTTTACAAAAAATGTTATTTATAAATAATTTAAATTTTAAAAGAGTTTTGAATGCTGAACCAAATCTAATCTTACCCATCATCTTATTTACTACTAGGTTAATTACAGTAGCTTACTGCCATGTATTTTTTCATATATGTTAAATAGAGTTAGATTCTTGTCATATGTCCTCCGTCAATGAAGTTGAGTTTAAACCTCCGGGGCTTTTATTGAAGTTTAGAACTAAAACAACATATACTGCTAAGGTAGAAAATTATACTTGAACGCATTGTTAATAAATATATGAAATGTGTGTATAATACGTGAAACATACATACCTGTATTAATATGTTAAAAAATGTACAGGAAATGTGAATTTTATTTTCATTATTGAAAAATGTGTAAAAATAACATGTATTGAACATAAAAGGTATGTGCGTATGTATATAATATATGTATGGTATTGTGCAGTTTTTAAAAAGTACAATTAACAAATTCATTAACGCATATACAAAAAATAAAAATATTATTAGAAAGTACGTATGTGTGTGTGTGTGTGTGTATTCAATATGCGTATTAAACACAATAACGTTATATTATAAAATTTATAGTGCAAGCTTGGATTTGAAGAGACATGCTAATATTTACTTTATATATCGATTGTTGTATCTTATATGTACTAAGAATCGGTCAGTATCAAGTTATAGACACAAAACCTAATTTTTTTTTTATGCTATGAATTGATTCCCAATGTCTGCCCAATGTTTTTATCTGGATACGTGTATTCTCCAACACCAAGCAGAGAGACCTTTGGTTCACAGAACACTGAACTGAATAGTGGGAGCTAGTGTCGTGGTAGAGGCTAGAACAACACATTCTCTCTCAGACTCTCGCAAGTCAGATAGTCAAAATGCCCCCAACACTCTCCGTCGGCCCTCCATGTGTGTATATATATGCACAAAAAGAGATCAAGTTCTTTTTTACATAAAACTGATGATTGATTGAAGGCATATCTTCGTGAACGTCGGCATAGTAATATATGGTACTACTTTTCCGTAATGGAATATGTGATCATGTTCAACCACGTTTCACCCTAATCGATTTTAAGAAAATTTTGTGGAACGCAGATATATAATAGAAGGAAAATCGTTAGATTCAAAGAATTTACTAACCTAATGGTTTAGACAATATTATGAGACCTCGAAAATTACTGCTATATATATTATTGTATTTGCATTAGGACAAGTAAATCCGCGGTCGTACCACTAACAGATGGTAAGTAAGACTGATGAGTCATAAGCTTTGGTGATGGTGGGTATCAGGTATGTCCTTGAAAGCTTAAATTTGACTAACTTTCAATCTTCCATCACTAATCTTTTAATCACAATTGTCCAATAGCTAGCCTTGTGATCATGCCATATCTTTAAGCTCCACTCTTTCATGCAACTTGGATTTCCATTCTGCCGGGGGAAGTATAATTTAAGTAATTTGATCGTTATGCTTCTGTTAAAGATTAAAAGAACAGAGAATATGTTCTTTATTTTAATTTTTATATTTATCATTTGAAAGAAGAGATGGTAACAGTCAGAGACGGCTTTGAAGGGGAGCGAAAAGTGTAATCGCATAAGATTTCAAATTTGAAGAAGCTCCCAAAAAAATTTGCCATTTAATATTTATTATATAAGATTGAACTACTTTCATGTTTTTGAAGGGGAGCGAAAAGTTTTTGAAGCTTTATTTCATGTTTGGTTGTTAAGATTGAACTACTTTCAATTATTTACTAAAGGTTATATTAGTAGCTTTTTTTACTTATTATTTAATGTCATTTGTAAACTTACAATCAATGAGTCTTAAAGTTTGTTTTGATTTAAGTTATTACTTTTTAACATTAATACATTGTCCTACTGTTTTGAAAAACTATCTTAAAGAAGAGCCCCTTTACAAATTTCGTACAATGCTCTTGAAATCTCAAAGATAGCCTTGGTATCAATGGAGAGAGGATCAGCAGAAATATTTAAAGAAGAGATAAGTATATATTGAGCACCCTTTTAACATCCCCATTCTGTGAAACCTACATACCATAGAAGGTGAGGCACCAACACCTTTACATTTAATATATAGTTTGGTGGTAAAACATTACAAGGATTACAAGGGGTACCCGATAATTTTTGGCTCATTTTTTTTCATTTTGGGTCAAGATGATTTGATGCTTCCCTATTTTTCTCTCAGACATGTATACTTGTGTAAAGCATCTATTTTTAAAATATATACTAATGAAACTTCTTGTTAATTTTCAATAAAAAATAGCACTAAGGAACACTAATTAGACAATAAGATGTATATATAACATGATTTACTGCTCTTTTACTGTTTATTTTAATTTTTTTAAGTATGTGAGATATTCTACACTAATCTACATTAATAGCACATTTACTAATCCGTAATCAAATTGAGAGGAATTAGATTGAGGAGGAATTGAAATGAGATGGAATCAGAATCAAATTTTTGTTGAAGTTGTTTACTAATTAAAACTGTCCGGAATCGGAATACAATTCCATAAATCTGTTTACTAATTCAGCAGAATCGGAATATAAATTTGATATAGTATATAATAGTAAGAAAAAATTAAATTGCTTTTTTATTTCATAGACATACTAAAATGATTTTGTTTATTTTTTTTTTTATAAATTTAAGTATTGACTTTAATATCTAAATTTTCTTGCTCAAGTTGTAGTTTTTTCTTTTCGGCATATGTATGGAGTTGTGCAAAATGTGAATGAACATGAAATTATGCTTAATGAGCTAGAAGGACATGGAAAGAAATTTTTAGGAGCATTTTTAGAAAAATAAGTCTAGGGTTAAAAGGATAATCTTGGAAATAATGAAAGTAAGTGAGGGCATAAAGGGAAAAAAATTATCATTCCGATTGCTAGGGCAATCCGGAATCCAAATACCTTGTATATGTTGGGAATCCAAATCCTCCAATTTCAAGAATTGGATTCCATTATTTGTGTGGGCCCCACACACTTTTGATTCCTCCCAATTTTAGTAAACACAGGTATGATCCGTAATCGTAATCGGAATCAGATTTCTTATTCTCATTCTGATTATGAGTTAGTAAACGCGCTATAAGATGAGGAGAAGAGTCTAAAACTAGGACTCTGGGGATCGAAGAGGAAAACAGTACTAATCACTAGGGCAATTCACCACTTACTATTGTCTAGTTATATAGTATATTTCCATAAAACATCTACCCTTCCAATAATATAAATTGAGCATGAAAAATAATTGATTTCAAAATACTTGCTTGCATGGAATCATTTTGAAAATTACAATTTAACATGCATGCACAAATTAATTAATTACTTTTATATGTTCATTAGACTATAAAATGTGAAGAGTATTAGTATTCATTTGATTTATTCTCTACTGTAACATGCAATGTGAGATTTTAAAGGGAAATTAAGTCATTTTCTAAAGGGTCTATTGACTCTTGACCAGTCTCTCCCCAAGTTGGACTCCCTTCCTTCAATCCTTCCCAACTCTTTAAATCTCCCACCACCAGTCACCACTCTTTATTAATCAAAACCCTCTGGCACCAGGGATCCAATCCAAATTAAATTGAAATCCAAAGTGGGAAGAAAAGGAGGGCGCACAAGAAAGAAATGGTGGGTTCCTCTCTCCCTTTTTTTTTTTTTCCTCCCATCCCTCACACTTCTTTTCCTGTCATGCTGCTTTTTCTTTATTGCAAGTTGCAACACCCCTTTAAGTCACATGAGTTTTTGTAATGGTTCCTGTAGGAGCAAGAACAGCAGCTCAGCACCAGATGGGAAGGCTACGTGGACTGGAGAAGCCGACCTGCAATCAGAGGTCGCCATGGTGGCATGCTCGCCTCCTCCCTTGTGCTGGGTATGTGTCTCTTTTTCTTTGTCACCTGATCGATCACCTGGTTTAAGTACCCTTGGATTTCACATCAAGGATTGAGAATAAAACACATAAAGTACATTCATTTATTCTCCATCCTTGATGTCAAATCCAAAGGTAAGTGATCATTCATTCCTTGGTCACTTGATGAACAAGAGAACATTTCTACCTAATCCTCATCACTCCAAACCCCAAAACAAAGAATTGGATTTTTGAAATCATTGATTATGTTGTATTTCTAAGTATTTTGGTGCTTTTTTTCACTGATTTGATAGGTTTTTGTGTTGTTATGCATATTTTTTAGTGGCGGAGGTATTGGAGAACTTGGCATATCTGGCAAATTCAAGCAACTTGGTCATGTACTTAAAGGATTATATGCATTTATCTCCGTCCAAAGCCGCAAACAATGTCACAGATTTCATGGGCACCGCCTTCCTTCTGGCCCTTCTCGGTGGTTTCTTATCCGATGCCTTCTTCACAACTTATCACATCTACCTGATAAGTACAGTTATTGAATTTCTGGTAATTACAGTTTCCAGTCCTCCTCTCTCTGAACGTTTTTTCTTTTTTGGTTACTTCTGCTTGCAACTCTCTTTCTTTCTAATGCTATTTACATACTAATTTTTATTTGTTACACATTCTTGTTAATTTTCAATCATCGAATAAAATAAAAAATAAAAAAAAATAATACCAGTGTGTGAACGTGTGAGAGATTAAAAACATCTATAAATAACACCGCTTTTTCTTTTTTCGGTTACAAGCTCTCTCTTTTGTTAATTGCTATATATATGCTGATAATCTGCACGCATTTCTTCCATTCCTTTCCCCTTAGCTTTTGCATCATTTTTAGGACTACTAATTCTATAATATATATAGAATAATTGGGTTGGTTCTCTCGAGGGAGTCCAAAGGGCACGTGGCTTGCAACAGGAACTCGGAGTCTGTGCAAACTGGGGTTGGGAGCAAGCGCCATAAAACCCTCATAGCCTCTCAGAAATTGATAACTTGTATGGATATATTAGTTAGAATCATAACTTGCTGTAGTCAATGAGTTCAGTTGATGCCTAGAGATCACACCACTTCATTGTTTTTTTTTTTTCTGATGCGAGAAAGTTCACAGCCTTGATAAGGCGAAAGAGTGGTGCTATCTGCACATATTTTTTTACTTTTTACAGATAATGCAGGATGACAAGAGCAATATATACTAGACAGAACCAACTGTTACTAGCCCATGTTTTTTTTTTTTGTTTTTGGCAAAATTAGCCTATCATGAACAAGAAAGAAAACATAGCCCACCCCTATAAGTTTTTCTAGCTCCGCCTTGTCCTTATAATGATGTATTATTGGCATGAAACGTCATCATAACAATGTACTCATGGCATATAAATTGTTGTCGAGGTTGAGGGCCCATGTATTGCTATGCATTTGTTTTCTCATGTCATGCCATGACAGTGAGAAACTTCGAATGCTCAATTTCAGTTTGACAGCAATGCATGCATTAATACAATCTTTGTCTTCTCCCTTCACAACCTTGTCTTTGCTTAAGACTTGCTTGATAGAAACACTACTCAGTACTACATGATAAGATCTCACTAGCTATATCACTCATTAGTGTATGGAAATGTATCATCTCCGGATCCCTTCCTCCTAATCCATAAAATCAGAGAATCTGTGCTGTTGAAATTTGATCCAACGATTACAAACAAAGGCACAATTTAAAAATTATAATAACTTCAGCCGTTGGATCAAATTTCTACGCACGGATCCTCCCGATTTGGTAGATTAGGAGAAAGAGATCTAGAGAGGATCCCTTTCTTTGGTGCACCACCTCCACCCCTTGTGCTGGCCCTTTTTCTGCCACGTACACCCATGTTTTGGGAAACATGATTGTACCAAGTAAAATCAATCATATATATTGTGGTTGAAAGATCCACATCCAACATTATATTTCCTTATTTTGGATCTCGTATAAGTTTTAACTGTGCAAGAGGCAAGTATCATATACAACGACGGTGTCTTCTATCCATATTCACAGAACCACGTGTCTGGTTACGGTTTCAATAGGGGCCAGAGGCCGAGAGGGATGTGGAATTCGACAAAATGTACATCAAATTAGAGCCATCAACCATGGTCTTTAGGATAAATAGGACCCCAAGGCAAAAACATTACTTTCATCCGTAGTGACATTTCATAAGCAAGTCCTTTTCCAAAAAATTGAAGTGGGGATTCAACACGTGGATTGGGGACCCAATCCCAATGTTTTTAGCTTTCCTTTTTTCCCTATAGAAAATTTTGGGGTTTACTGTTGATTGAACCATAAACTTTAGAACTCTTCTATTGGTCACTTCGAAGGGTGTAGAGCCCATTATCTGTGGCCCAATAATGTCCCACATATTTATGGCAGTTGATCAGCCCAACTTAAGTCCAAGGGCAAACCCAAGTTCACAACGTAGACGTGGCGATATTTTAAATTAGTTTAATTCACGGGAGGAGATTGAAATTGATTACCGGAATGGATGTAATGCCTTGACCAATTGAGCTAACTTACATTCGCACGAAAATCACAAACTTTAAGATATTTTAGTCTTCTTAACTTGCAAATGTTTTATTCTTTTGCCTAATGCTTATCTGCCTTATCAATCGATTCAAACTTCCAACATTGTCACAGGGTTTGATCCTACTCACAGTGCAAGCTCGCTTACCTTCACTGAAGCCACCATCATGCACCAAAGACAGCCTCGACAATCCATGCCAAGAAGTTGAAGGTGGAAAAGCTGCCATGTTGTTCCTAGGACTGTATCTGGTGGCATTGGGGGTCGGAGGGATAAAGGGCTCTTTACCATCACATGGCGCGGAGCAATTTGATGAGAGCACTCCACAAGGCAGGAAGCAGAGATCAACCTTCTTCAACTACTATGTCTTCTGCCTCGCTTGTGGCGGCCTGATTGCGGTGACACTGGTGGTGTGGATTGAAGACAACAAAGGGTGGGAATGGGGTTTCGGAATTGCAACCATTAGCATATTGTTGTCCATACCGGTGTTCCTTGCTGGCTCTACTCTTTACAGGAACAAGATACCTAATGGAAGTCCCCTAACAACCATTTTCAAGGTAAGAAAAGTAAGATGATATGTGCACCTTGTAATGTTCGTGATAATGTAAATTCCACATCACTAACACATCGGGGAGATCTAGGTTACTTAAGCAAGGGATGAAATCTAAATCGCAGATTTTTTATATAAGCGATTTTCTGCTTTAAACTAATCTAAAATACGGGGAATGGCCTAAAAAGGTAGCTTGAATTCCAAGTAATCTAATTTAATTTCTGTTGCTATTGAGCAGGTTTTAATTGCTGCCACACTTCACAGCTGTGTGACCGGAAGTCCAAGCAATGCCATTGTGAGCATGGCTCCAACTCCTTCTTCAATCCTAATCACCAAAGCAGTATCAGAACCAAACATCGTGGAGGAGGATTACGCCACTGATAACCAAACACCAACAGAAAGCCTCAAGTTCCTAAACAGAGCAGTTGTAGTGAACAAGCCAGTCCACGATAAACTACAATGCACCGTGAAGCAAGTAGAAGAAGTCAAAATCGTGCTTAAAATCCTCCCGATTTTCGCATGCACGATCATGCTCAACTGCTGCCTAGCTCAGCTCTCCACATTCTCCGTCCAACAAGCTGCGACAATGGACACAAAGCTCGGCTCTCTGAAAGTCCCGCCTGCTTCCCTCCCCATCTTCCCCGTACTCTTCATCATGATCATAGCACCTGTCTACGACTTCTTCATCATCCCATTCGCACGTAGGGCCAAGAAATCCGAAATGGGAATCACGCACTTGCAACGCATAGGAGCCGGCCTAGCCCTCTCCATCATTGCAATGGCAATAGCAGCCCTCGTGGAGATCAAGCGCAAGCGCGTAGCGTCCAACACTGGAATGCTAGACTCAACCGAGCCACTCCCCATCACGTTCTTTTGGATTGCGCTTCAGTACTTGTTCCTGGGGTCAGCGGACCTTTTCACATTGACCGGACTGTTGGAGTTCTTCTTCACGGAAGCGCCGACGAGCATGAGGTCTCTGGCAACAGCTCTCACTTGGGCTTCCTTGGCAATGGGGTATTATCTGAGCTCAGTGATTGTTTCTGTGGTGAATGATGTTTCAGGGAAATACTCCGACCACAAATGGCTGTCCGGTAAAATGCTGAATCAGTACCACCTGGAGAGATTCTATTGGCTCATGTGTGTGCTGAGTGGATTGAATTTCTTGCACTATCTTTTCTGGGCAACCAGATACAAATACAGATCAACAAGAACAAATAAGTAAAACAGGAAAGCAAATTACATGGTACGGGTACACTATCACTGTGATGTGCTGTGTCAATGATACAACATTATGCAAACAAAAACTTACACATGTCTACGTATTGTTGATATAAGATGTTATGGTAACAGTATACCCGTGCCGTAAAGTCATCTGCAAAACAGTTTCTTTGGCAGGATCATATATGTGGCATGATGATCATAACTTGCAAGACAACAGCTTGGACTGTAAATAATGATGCCCAAACTGGTAGCGAGTGAGAACTGAATCAGAGAGGCCTACACAGAAATGGGATATAAGCACAGTTTTTTCTTTATAATCTTGTAGTCATTAAGTTATCTATCATAATAGAAATGTATGGTAGTTTGGTTCATGTTGTCAGATTGGCAATGGACCAGTGGATTATATGTGTCGTCTCCTTTTTGGAACGATAATAAATAAAGTATTTGGCGAGATTAACTCATTAGTGAAGGTTGTAAGATGCAAATATTCACCCTCGACTTTTAAGGGAAGGGAACCTACACAAGCTATAATAAGGAAATTGAAATTGAAATTTCGAAAAAGGTAATTCTACACTCACTTAAGTAGATTTTCACCTTGTCGATGTAACTGAGGAGTGCACTAATGACTTTTGTAAAGTGAAAATTAAGATAACTGACTTTAGATGGATTCGTTTGAGCTTCATTGATTTATATTTATTTTTTAATGCTATGATCGCACAATCGTATATTATCGTCACAATGATAATATTCTTAACCATTCGAATTAATGCGTCAAAAAATCAGATAAGCATGAACAAAACTTTGAACTGGTCGAATAATTCCTAACTATATTAAATTATGGTCATTGTTACTGTTAAGTTTTCAATCATTAATTTCAACTGTTTAAATATTAATTATAATAGATTTAGCATGGGAAAATATATTTTGAAGAACATGAATATGATAGTTTGTAGTTATGGTAAGAGAAAATAAATAAATAAAAAAATTAAAAAGAGGGGGATCGGTATGAAATTAGCGACTTTATTTCAGTTAAATTGCTAGTTAGCTAGCAATCGCAATTCCATAGAATCGCTATATTACTAGCAACTCTCTTCAAGGACAATAGGAAGAAAAGTACCGATCGTAACATTTTTACTCCTCCTTTTTTTCTTTTTCTTTTTTGATTGAATTTTTTTTCCTAAAACTATTTTTTATAGATTTTTAAAGTTGAAAATATGAGAATATCTTTAAATTTAGGTTTTAAATCATTAATTTCAACTGTTTAAATATTAATTATAATAGATTTAGCATTGGAAAATATATTTTGAAGAACATGAATATGATAGTTTGTAGTTATGGTAAGAGAAAAAAATAAATAAATAAATTAAAAAGAAAGGGATCGGTACGAAACTAGCGACTTCATTTCATTTAAATTGCTAGTTAACTAGCGACCTTGTTTCTATATGATCGCTAGCTTACTAGCAACTCCCTTCAAGGACAATAGGAAGAAAAGTACCCATCGTAACATTTTTACTCCTCCTTTTTTTCTTTTTCTTTTTTGATTGAATTTTTTTTCCTAAAACTATTTTTTATTGATTTTTTAAAGTTGAAAATATGAGAATATCTTTAAATTTAGGTTTAAAATCATTAATTTCAACTGTTTAAATATTAATTATAATAGATTTAGCATGGGAAAATATATTTTGAAGAACATGAATATGATAGTTTGCAGTTATGGTAAGAGAAATAAAAAAATAAAAAAATTGAAAAGAGGGGGATCGGTATGAAATTAGCGAATTCATTTCACTTAAATTGCTAGCTAACTAGCGATCGTAAATCTACATGATCGCTAGCTTAGTAGCAACTCGCTTCAAGGACAATAGGAAAAAAAAAGTACCGATCGTAACATTTTTACTCCTCCTTTTTTTCTTTTTCTTTTTTGATCGAATTTTTTTTTCCTAAAACTATTTTTTATTGATTTTTAAAGTTGAAAAATATGAGAATATCTTTAAATTTAGGTTTTAAATCATTAATTTCAACTGTTTAAATATTAATTATATTAGATTTAGCATGGGAAAATATATTTTGAAGAACATGAATATGATAGTTTGCAGTTATGGTAAGAGAAAATAAATAAATAAAAAAATTAAAAAGAGGGGGATCGGTATGAAATTAGCGACTTTATTTCAATTAAATAGCTAGTTAGCTAGCGATCGTAATTCCATAGGATCGCGATCTTACTAGCAACTCTCTTCAAGGACAATAGGAAGAAAAGTACCGATCGTAACATTTTTCCCCCCTCCTTTTTTTCTTTTTCTTTATTCATTGAATTTCTTTTCCTTTGAATTTTTTTTCCTAAAACTAGCTTTTATTGATTTTTAAAGTTGAAAATATGAGAATATCTTTAAATTTACGTTTTAAACCATTCATTTCAATTGTTTAAATATTAATTATAATAGATTTAGCATGGGAAAATATATTTTGAAGAACATGAATATGATAGTTTGTAGTTATGTTAAGAGAAAATAAATAAATAAAAAAATTAAAAAGAGGGGGATCGATATGAAACTAGCGACTTTATTTCAAAAAAATTGCTAGTTAGCTAGCGATCGTAACTCCATTGGATCGCTATCTTACTAGCAACACTATTCAAAGACAATAGGACGAAAAGTACCGATCGTAACATTTTTCCCCCTCTATTTTTTCTTTTTCTTTTTTCATTGAATTTCTTTTCCTTTGAATTTTTTTTCCTAAAACTAGTTTTTATTGATTTTTAAAGTTAAAAATATGAGAATATCTATAAATTTACGTTTTAAATCATTCATTTCAATTGTTTAAATATTAATTATAATAGATTTAGCATGGGAAAATATATTTTGAAGAACATGAATATGATAGTTTGTAGTTATGGTAAGAGAAAATAAATGAATAAAAAAATTAAAAAGAGGGGGATCGGTATGAAATTAGCGACTTTATTTCAGTTAAATTGCTACTTAGCTAGCGATCGTAATTCCAAAGGATCGCTATCTTACTAGCAACTCTCTTCAAGGACAATAGGAAGAAAAGTACCGATCGTAACATTTTTACTCCTCCTTTTTTTCTTTTTCTTTTTTGATGGAATTTTTTTTTCCTAAAACTATTTTTTATTGATTTTTAAAGTTGAAAATATGAGAATATCTTTAAATTTAGGTTTTAAATCATTAATTTCAACTGTTTAAATATTAATTATAATAGATTTAGCATGGGAAAATATATTTTTAAGAACATGAATATGATAGTTTGTAGTTATGTTAAGAGAAAATAAATAAATTAAAAAATTAAAAAGAGGGGGATCAGTACGAAACTAGCGACTTTATTTCACAAAAATTGCTAGTTAGCTAGCGATCGTAACTCAATTGGATCGCTATCTTAATAGCAACTCTATTCAAGGACAATAGGAAGAAAAATACCGATCGTAACATTTTTCCCCCTCATTTTTTTCTTTTTCTTTTTTCATTGAATTTCTTTTCCTTTGAATTTTTTTTCCTAAAACTAGTTTTTATTGATTTTTAAAGTTGAAAATATGAGAATATCTTTAAATTTACGTTTTAAATCATTCATTTCAAATGTTTAAATATTAATTAAAATAGATTAAGCATGGGAAAATATCTTTTGAAGAACATGAATATGATAGTTTGTAGTTATGGTAAGAGAAAATAAATGAATAAAAAAATTAGAAAGAGGGGGATCGGTATGAAATTAGCGACTATATTTCACTTAAATTGTTAGTTAACTAGCGATCGTAATTCCAAAGGATCGCTATCTTACTAGCAACTCTCTTCAAGGACAATAGGAAGAAAAATACCGATCGTAACATTTTTACTCTCCTTTTTTTCTTTTTCTTTTTTGATGGAATTTTTTTTCCCAAAACTATTTTTTATTGATTTGTAAAGTTGAAAATATGAGAATATCTTTAAATTTACGTTTTAAATCATTAATTTCAACTGTTTGAATATTAATTAAAATAGATTAAGCATGGGAAAATATATTTTGAAGAACATGAATATGATAGTTTGTAGTTATGGTAAGAGAAAATAAATGAATAAAAAAATTAAAAAGAGGGGGATCGGTATGAAATTAGCGACTTCATTTCACTTAAATTGCTACGATCGGTACTTTTCTTCCTATTGTCCATGAAGAGAGTTGCTAGTAAGATAGCGATCCTTTGGAATTACGATCGCTAGTTAACTAACAATTTAAGTGAAATATAGTCGCTAATTTCATACCGATTCCCCTCTTTTCAATTTTTTTATTCATTTATTTTCTCTTACCATAACTACAAACTATCATATTCATGTTCTTCAAAATATATTTTCCCATGCTAAATCTATTATAATTAATATTCAAACAGTTGAAATCAATGATTTAAAACCTAAATTTAAAGATATTCTCATATTTTCAAATTTAAAAATCAATAAAAAATAGTTTTAGGAAAAAAAATTCCATCAAAAAAGAAAAAGAAAAAAAGGAGGAGTAAAAATGTTACGATCGGTACTTTTTTTTCCTATTGTCCTTGAAGCGAGTTGCTACTAAGCTAGCGATCATGTTGACGATCGCTAGTTAGCTAGCAATTTAAGTGAAATAAAGTCGCTAGTTTCATACCGATCCCGATCTTTTTAATTTTTTTATTTATTTATTTTCTTTTAACATAACTACAAACTATCATATTCAAGTTCTTAAAATATATATTTTCCCATGCTAAATCTATTATAATTAATATTTAAACAGCTGAAATTAATTATTTAAAACCTAAATTTAAAGATATTCTCATATTTTCAACTTTAAAAATCAATAAAAATAGTTTTAGGAAAAAAAATTCCATCAAAAAAGAAAAAGAAAAAAAGGAGGAGTAAAAATGTTACGATCGGTACTTTTCTTCCTGTTGTCCTTGAACAGAGTTGCTAGTAAGATAGCGATCCTTTGGAATTACGATTGCTAGCTAACTAGCAATTTAACTGAAATAAAGTCGCTAATTTCATACCGATCCCCCTCTTTTTAATTTTTTTATTCATTTATTTTCTCTTACCATAACTACAAACTATCATATTCATGTTCTTCAAAATATATTTTCCCATGCTAAATCTAGTATCATTAATATTCAAACAGTTGAAATTAATGATTTAAAACCTAAATTTAAAGATATTCTCATATTTTCAACTTTAAAAATCAATAAAAAATAGTTTTAGGAAAAAAAAATTCCACCAAAAAAGAAAAAGAAAAAAAGGAGGAGTAAAAATGTTACGATCGGTACTTTTCTTCATATTGTCCTTGAAGAGAGTTGCTAGTAAGATAGTGATCCTTTGGAATTACGATCGCTAGTTAACTAACAATTTAAGTGAAATATAGTCGCTAATTTCATACCGATCCCCCTCTTTTTAATTTTTTTTATTTATTTATTTTCTCTTACCATAACTACAAACTATCATATTCATGTTCTTAAAAATAT